TACAGTCCCACACACACTGACTCTCACTGGTGTACAGGCTTCCACACACACTGACTCTCACTGGGGTACAGCTCACACACACACTGACTCTCACTGGGGTACAGTCGCAGACACACTGACTCTCACTGGGGTACAGTCCTACACACAATGACCTTCACTGGGGTAAAGTCAGAGACACACTGACTCTCACTGGGGTACAGTCCGACACACACTGACCCTCACTGGGGTACAGTCCGACACACACTGACCCTCACTGGGATACAGTCCCCCACACACTGACTCTCACTGTGGTACAGTCCCACACACAGTGACTCTCACTGGGGTGCAGTCTCACACACAATGACTCTCACTGGGGTACAGTCCTACACACACTGACCTTCACTGAGGTAAAGTCAGACACACACTGACTCTCACTGGGGTAGAGTCCGACACACACTGACCCTCACTGGGATACAGTCCCACACACACTGACTCTCACTGGGGTACAGCTCCCACACACACTGACTCTCACTGGGGTACAGTCGCAGACACACTGACTCTAAATGGGGTACAGCTCCAACACACACTGACTTTCACTGGGGTATGGTACCAGACACACTGACTCTGAATCGGACATGGCTCCCCCACACACTGACTTTCAGTGGAGTACAGTCCCACACACACTGACTCTCTTTGGTGTACAGGCTTCCACACACACTGACTCTCAATGGGGTATGGCTCCCACACACACTGACTCTCACTCGGGTACGGCTCCCACACATACTGACTCTCACTGGGGTACGGATCACACGCACTTACTCTCACTGGGGGATAGCTCCCACACGTATTGACTCTCACTGGGGTACAGTAACAGTCATACGCACACTGACTCTGAGTGGGGTACAGTTGCACACACACTCTCACTGGGGTACGGTCCCACACACACTGACTCTCACTGGGGTACAGTCCGCACAGACACTGACTCTCACTGGGGTACAGTCCCACACATACTGACTCTCACTGGGGTATGGCTCTTAGACACACTGACTCTCACTGGGGTACAGTCCTACACACACTGGCCCTCACTGGGGTACGGCTCCCACACACACTGACTCTCACTGGTGTACAGGCTTCCACACACACTGACTCTCACTGGGGTACAGTCTCACACACAATGACTCTCACTGGGGTACAGCTACCACACACACTGACTCTCACTGGGGTACAGTCTCACACACAATGACTCTCACTGGGGTACAGTCTCACACACAATGACTCTCACTGGGGTACAGCTACCACACACACTGACTCTCACTGCGGTACAGTCCCCACAGACACTGACTCTCACTGGGATACAGTCCCGCACTCACTGACTGTCCCTGGGGTACGGCTCCCAAACACACTGACCCTCACTGGGGTATGGCGCCCAAACAGAATGACTCTCACTGGGATACGGCTCCCACACACACTGACTCTCACTGGTGTATATGCTTCCACACACACTGACTCTCACTGGAGTACAGTCCCACACACACTGACTCTCACTGGGGTACAGTCGCAGACACACTGACTCTGAATGGGGTACAGCTCCCCCACACACTGCCTTTCACCGGGGTACAATCCCACACACACTGACTCTCACTGGGGCAAAGTCCTACACATGCTGACTCTCAGTGAGGTACAGTCCCACACACACTGACTCTCACTGGGGTACAGTCCGACCCGCACTGACTCTCACTGGGGTACAGGCCCACACAAACTGACCCTCACTGGGACACAGTCCAACACACAGTGACTCTCACTCGGGTACGGCTCCCACACATACTCTCACTGCGGTACGGATCACAGGCACTTACTCTCACTGGGGGATTGCTCCCACACGTATTGACTCTCACTGGGGTACAGTCATACGCACACTGACTCTCAGTGGGGTACAGTCGCACACACACTGACTCTCACTGTGGTACGGCTCCCACACACACTGACTCCCACTGGGGTAGAGTCTCACACGCAATGACTCTAACTGGGGTGCAGTCCCACACACACTGACTCTCACTGGGGTACAGTCGCAGACACACTGACCCTAACTGGGGTACAGTCCCACACACTCTGACTCTGAATGGGGTACAGCTCCTACACATACTGACTTTCACTGGGGTACAGTCCCACGCACACTGACTCTCACTGGGGTACTGACCCACACACACTGACTCTCACTGGGACAAAGTCCTACACACGCTGACTCTCACTGGGGTACAGTCCCACACACACTGACTCTCACTGGGGTACAGGCTTCCACACACACTGACTCTAACTGGGTTAGAGCTCCCACACACACTGACTTTCACTGGGGTACGGTCCCACTCACACTGACTCTCACTGGGGTACAGTCCCACACACAGTGACTCTCACTGGGCGACAGTCCCACACACACTGACTTTCACTGGGGTAGGGTCCCACACACACTGACTCTAACTGGGGGACAGCTCCCACACACACTGATTTTCACTGGGGTACGGTCCCACACACACTGACTCTCACTGGGGTACAGTCCCACACACAGTGACTCTCACTGGTGTACAGGCTTCCACACACACTAACTCTCACTGGGGTACAGCTCACACACACACTGACTCTCACTGGTGTACAGTCCCACACACACTGACTCTCACTGGGGTACAGTCGCAGACACACTGACTCTGAATGAGGTACGACTCCCCCACACACTGACTTTCACCGGGGTACAGTCCCACGCACACTGACTATCACTGGTGTATAGGCTTCCACACACACTGACTCTCACTGGGGTACAGCTCACACACACACTGACTCTCACTGGTGTACAGGCTCCACAAACACTGACTCTCACTGGGGTACAGCTCACACACACACAGACTATCACTGAGGTACAGTCCCACACACTGACTATCACTGGTGTATAGGCTTCTACACACACTGACTCTCACTGGGGTACAGCTCACACACACACTGACTCTCACTGGGGTACAGTCTCTCATGCACTGACTCCCACTGGGGTGCAGTCCCAAACACACTGACTCTGAATGGGGTACGGCTCCCACACACACTGACTCTCACTGGGGTATGGCTCAGACACACACTGACTCTCACTGGGGTATGGTCCCACACACACTTACTCTCACTGGGGTACAGCTCCCACACACACTGACTCTCACTGGGGTACATTCGCAGACACACTGACTCTAACTGGGGTACAGCTCCAACACACATTGACTTTCACTGGGGTACAGTCTCTCACGCACTGACTCCCACTGGGGTGCAGACCCAAACACAGTGACTCTGAATGGGGTATGGCTCCCACACATACTGACGCTCACTGGGGTAAGGATCACACACACTTACTCTCAATGGGGGATAGCTCCCACACGTATTGACTCTCACTGGGGTACAGTCAGATGCACACTGACTCTCAGTGGGGTACAGTCACACACACACTGACTATCACTGCGGTACGGATCCCACACACACTGACTCTCAGTGAGGT